TTCATTACAAACGAAATATGGTTTCGTACACAACTCGACACGGGCTACAAAACTAGCATGATTAAATCTTGCCTGCAGAAGTTCGATGTAAATCTGGGCGGACGTGTGTGAAAGCACCCAATTAAGATTTGATTAGATATTTCAAGTATATTTCAATTGACAGCATTCAATTAAACAATGAGTAACTTAATACAATTCATTATATACTAACATAACTATTAAAAATATTTCAAATTTAGTTCTAGTAAACAAACTGTAGAACGATGTATGAATCTCCAAAGAATTAGGAGAAATAGTTATACAGATAAAATACTCACATATAATTCAACAAAATGATTTAAACTTTCGATTTTATTTTGCATGTGATAATTTAAATNATCTTTTTCATCGTTCTATCACATACCATCAGTGACGCTGCTTTATCTCTTTCGCTCTTCATATATCTCTCTTTCCTTTCTTCCTTCCCTTCCCTTCCTTATATATCTATATATGAGAGCTAACAAATATAGTAAAACAACTTTATTTTTCCTAGTTTAACAAAATAAAATCCATGGCATCAAGATACTTTAAACCATAAAGAAAATACAAATTCGAGTTAATGCACACATCAAAAGGCTACACTGCTTCAATGTACTACAAATTGTTAACAACTAAATTTTCAACTGTATATCAAAGATCAATTTATTCATCTAGTTAAAGTCAATCTTATTCATATCTGCTAAATAGCTATTTTGATTATATCCATATCATGCTTATCATAACGTATATTCAAATACAGATTGCTAAAACTATTCTCTCTTCTTTTCTTATAATTGATCCTCAACACTTGATAAATACGTTATTCTGCAAATCTAAAATTCCTCATGTACTATAAAATAAATTAAACGAAATATCAAAAAACATTGTCGCATAAAAAAACATACGTAATTTCATATTACAAGTTGTAATACATTACAAGCAAATTGAATCACAAGCAGGTGTACATTTGTATATTATTAAATCAGTATACTTATGTCGCTTAGTCATATTAAAATATCGATTACTATTTGTTTTCAATACAAACTCAATCTCATTTTTACAGCACGAGTACCCATATATTTCATAACTTTAGTCTATGTTATCTTCGTGTACTTCTACTACTCACAAAATACATAACAACGTTTTTATCTTTTTTCTCATACAATTATTTTAACGTAGAATTTAGATTCACTTAAGTGTATTTTGATTCGCAATTTTTCCACTCATTGGAAAACTTTGATCGGATTTTCTTTATAAAAATGTATCCATTTCGGACCTCGTAATACGAAATAATATAAATTTGTCAACAATATCAATAGCTATATCCTAAATATCCTTTAAACTATTATCATTGTCAATATTTCTCAATGAAACCATTAAACACTTAAGCATACTAACATATTGTAACGACAAGTTCTTCATATGCTGTCTCTAGTAATATTTACTGTAAATAGATCCAATAAACCTCAAATGTTAAGGCATCTTTTTTTCCTGTCTTATTTTTGAACAAAATATGATCTTACTACGTTGACAAAGTAAAAATTCTATTTTATCAGTATGTGGATGAATTGCAACTTTATTGTACCGTCCGTAGTTCCATTAGTAAAACGTGAATAATTCCAGTTCCTCTTAACCAATCTTTATGAAAATTTCTGAGTGTGCTTCTCTAGTTGATGCTCACTACCACACAAAAAATCACGAATTTATCATTAGCCCATTCTGAGATACTGCATACACAAGTGTGAAATGATTGGTTTCTGCTGCCACCTATGAACAGAAAATGACCCATCATTGATTGGCTTCCTGTCATTTGAATTTTGACAATTGTTGGCGTTTATAGTGGACAGTGTATAGGTTACTAATATAAAACTTGTTGGTTCTTTCATCAAAGTTTACATCATATTTTTTCCGAATATCATATGTACTGTCAATAGTCAATATGGTGTCACAAGAGATTTTAAAACGCGTTTATTATATAACAAAGCATTCAAAACTAGTCGGATTAGTTTTGAATGAAGGCTTATCAGTGGGGAATAAAAGTACCAGAGATTATAGGAAAGTTTCACTTTCTCTTGTTAAGAAAGGAATATCATATAAAATTTCAAAACACAGTTGTCACACTAAATGTCACAAGAGATTTGATAGGTTGTGTGCTGTATTAACTCTTGTAAATTAAGGCAAATTGAGCTGATATTTTTATCATTTTATCTGCTAGTTGTGGTCATATATTGCTGAAAATATCACGGTTGGAAAATGTTTCTTTCGCAAAACAGAGAGAAAAATGGTGTAAAAATGTCACAAGAGATTTCCGTCTGCTTGTCACACGAGATTTTTCTAAAAATTGCCATATTAAATTTTTATACAGATAACTATCTTGTAACTATGAATAAAGCATATAAAGGTCATATTTTCGGTTTTCATGTTTAAATAGCTATTAAGACTCATGCAAACTAACTCTATTTTATTTCTGACAGGTCATTAAATTTCGGTATAAGAGCATAATCTGAACATTGCTACTGCTTTGAACATTTGATACTATAAATTTCAAAATAAAATGTAACTTGCAATAAATTATCCTATTTTAGCTTCTAATTCTACATAAACTACGGCTTCTCACGTCAAGAAAAAGCGTCAAGATTATAATCGAAAATACTATCAAAAATTACAATACAAACGTGTTAAATCAGAATCATTTAATTCTGAATATATTCGAAAACAGAATGCTAGACAACAGAAATGTAGACGATTAAAGACGACAGCACAAAAAACATCAACGAATACTACTGAATTAACAACTGCAGCTGCTCAAGCACCATCAAATACAACTGCACCAGCAACAGTCAGAACAATCTTACGAAAAGCTGAAGGTATTCTTCGTCGTCGAGCTAATACAAGAAAAATGAAAAATAAAAACGAAAAATTATCTAATGAAATCAAAGTATTACGTAAAGAAAATCTGAAAATGAAAAGATTATTATCTCAAAAGCGTTCAGAAGAAACCAGTACTGCTGATACAACACCAATGACGTCACCAACAAAATTATTTATCGATAATGTTAGTCCAACTGCCAAAAGACGTGCAACTAAACGATTACTTAATAAAAAAGAAAATATACCTCGTGGTTCTCTTTCAAAATTGAGAAAAAAATTAGGAATAAATTTATCTAATAATTATAATCCACCATCCAGTACACCATCAACACTTCAGAAGGATATAGAAGAATTTTTATTACATGATGATGTTACCAAACAAGCACCTGATAAGAAAAAACAGTTACATGGGAAACAAGTTAGATATTTATTGAACCATGTATCGACTATTCATCAACGATTTATGACTGAAACTGGTAATAATTGTCATTATTCTACATTCACACGTTATATTCCTGATTATGTGCTGAAGCCAAGTACTGATGATTGGGGTACTTGCTTATGTATCGTTTGCTTGAACCCACAGCTCAAATTAGAAAAATTACAACGTATAAAATTTCTATATCCAGTTCTCAAGGCGTTACTTCCTGATGGTTTAACTGATATAACAGATTTAGTTACAGATGAAATCAAAATAAAAGATTTTTTGGATAATTTAGTTAAACTTGAAGATGAACAATTTAACATTACATATACTGAATGGACAAAGAAAAAAAATTATAAATCCAATGTGCCTGTGTCAACAAAAACAACACTTACATCATCTATTTCTGATTTTATAACGAAATTTTCAAAAGAAATCAATGTATGTACATAAAGTTTAATCATAAACAATATTTGTCGTATGAGGAGATTTTAATTCTATTAGATATGTTTCTAGTTACAAGAGTGGAACTCTACAATGAGGAGAATCATATATACATTTATTTTACACAGATAAACGATAAATTTTTCATGATGTTTAGGATTTAGTATCACATATCGATCGTGTGCGTCAACAATTTCGAGCTGCAAAACAAGCAAGACAGATGGCTACGGAACAGGAAGACACAATTACAATACAATTGGATTGACCCGAAAACTTCAAACTGAAACAAGCTCGACAAGAAAAAGGTGAGTGATTGATTACTCGATCCCAATGTTAAAGCTTAGATGCTCCTAGTATCAGAATGGAATCGCGTTCTGTTGATTGAATTACATGATTTACTCCTTCAAAGATTGATCATAAACGATAATGATAATATTTCTTTTAGCATCATACTATTACGAACAACATATCTCAATCTTAAGTGGTTATGTATGGAAAAAAGATGATTGCTTTAGTTTTGCTTCAGTATCTGACGATACTAATCACATGTTTGAAGGGACGTGGGCTGCAGTACAATATTTATAATACAGTATGAGATTTATGAAGTCGAGCTAGCCTACTTTGAGTAGCACATTTATATATGCCACTACATATACAAAGCTCTCTCTATGTCTAATCTAAAGCATTATGAACATATCCGATTAAGTTCGTAGTTTCACAAATTTATTCGAATATTCGAAAAACTCACATTTGTGTTGTTATCATGTATTTTTTAAAAACTATTGTAGCTCGACTAATTTAAGAGTGGTAGTTGGGAAAATTTATACATAGTCTTCTCTCATATAGTGGACTAAGATGTAATACTCGGAATTTCTAAAATCGGAAATTTTTTTTTCGTCGATTTTTTTCTCAAAACGGTACAATAATTTTGCAATTCATCCATATATAAGAAAATAAAAAGACCCCGCTTGAAAATTTCATAGTGCTATTCTTATGACTCACCTATGTGAAATCACTAAAAATATCGCTCATTTTATTTAGTTTAGTTTGAAAACAAGTGGTCTCATAATTATGCACCAGACTGTATTTATAGAACGGATAAAGATACAGCACATTAAATTGCGACACATTCTCTTGCTCGAACCCACGTCACTATAATTCAAGACGGCAAAACTTCACGCACTTTCACTTAGAGTGCGTCACTCACTAAAAACTATGGTTTCGTATATCAAGGGGTATATTCACAAGTTTCTTGCAAATTCTTAAGCCTATTAACTCCCTTTTTAATATACTACTATTATCACATGCTGGGTTAACGTGAGCAATGTAGTGGCTAATTTATCCCATTGTTATCAAAATAGATATCTATCTTTGCTTTTCAAAATAATCAAAAGCCTCCTCTTATCTCTGTAAATGTAATGATCACATAGACTTTACTTCTTCAATATCAGGGCTGTCCCGACCTGCAGGGGTTCGGGGTGTGATCCCCACCAATGACTGGAACTTTCTTGATTTCAATTCATAAAAAAATCGTTTGCAAATAGATTTGGTCAAAATTTAACATCCAAAGAAAGAACTAGTTGGCAAGAAAGCATACTGCTTGTGATTTATTCAATCATCTCTTTTCCTTCTCCGTCTATTAATTTTCGCAGTTGCATAGTGACGATTGTTCGTAGTTGATTATGATGATGACTGTTCTTTTTCGACTATGGTCTGCACGATCTCATTTGAAAAAAAACAGCTTATTACTACTTATGAAGATATATAAATCTATTACTAGTCCTCTAGAGTACTATCTTATCAAAGATAGGAAACCCGTCGCCCAAATCATGATTCTGTATTATTTCTTATAATTATTGTTGAGTATTAGAAGAGAATTAAACATTGCATGCGACTATTTCTATCGGTTGGTGAAAAGGAAAAGCTGATAGAGAACATATTGATTTGTCTTCCAGTTAGAGGATAGGTTGGTATGTTATCAAATTATTATTGAAGACTTTTGAATTGAAATATAGTAATAGATTGTTAACATGCCTAATGAGTCACTTGAGCAAGGATGAAACGCGTCGTGTAGATCTTTGAATGCTAAAATTAAATTTCTTCAGCTATAAAATGGCTTTTTGTTTTATTACGTTTAATTTTAAGTTTAATCTACTTCTTGTTTAGAAGAATTTAAACTTATCTATGCAATAATATTATTCTAAAGATACCTGATGAGTCCCTTGAGAAACGACGAAATCCGAATCGTGGTGTGCTTCTTTCTATCATTTTTCATCCTATTTCGTCTGAATCCGTCAGCTTGTTTTGAAGCACGTTTTTTAATTAGAGAACGATCATCGTTATTCGCCGATTCTGACACCGTAATCAAGTACGACGGATTAGATCTCATCGGGTTCCTGATTGAGTAGAAGACTGACAGTTAGGATATATATATATATATATGGATGTGAGTGAGAGTGTACGATGCATTGACATCAACACGGGCCTGTATGTACTGAAATATTATCATAATTATTAAATAGACAGAACATAATTGAATCCACTGGAAGAAGTAAACCCATAAAAGACGAATCCCAACAATCCCTCAACATAATTATATAAACATAAGACTTACCAAATGAATTGATATTCGTTGAAGTTTGTGTTAATGTTGTAAAAATGCTTTGCAGTATTTAATCTAAAGTTTCACAAAACAAAGACACATATTTTAAATATAATGCTAACATTATTATAGTCTTTGTAATTTTGCCAGAAAGAAATTTCACGCAGTCGTATGAAAGATCGATATAGACACTGATGTTGTGCAATTATGAATATCCATCATCATTTTTCACTTATTAATGAATGATTGAAGTCAAGTTAAACTAAGCGAACGTATTGTTTACACATCTAGAGTTGTTCTCATGCCGATTAGCAAGAAAAAGCTTTTCAGCGCAGCCCCGTTGGGGATAAAATGTGGAACTCACATATTTCGGTCAGTTAGATACTGATCAAATAGAAGTTTTACTTTTTCAGTGTAGTGAGATCATATTTTGTTCAAAAATAAGATAATAAACCCCTTTTAACATTTGAAGTTTATTGGATCTATTAATAGGAAATATTACTAGAAAGAACATATGAAAAACTTTTTGTTTAGAATATGTCAGTATGCTGAAGTGTTTAGTGGTTTCATTAAGAAATATTGTGAATGATAATAGTTTAAACAGTATTTAGGGTATAGCTATCGATATTGTTGATCAAATATGTTATATAGAATATTGAGAAATTTATATTTTTCGTATTACCAGGTAGGGGTGGGTCATTTGATTTAACTTAAAATTAAGTTAAGTTTCGTCACTTAATATTAAGTAATTAAATGTCTTTCTTCTCACTTAATCACTTAATATTGAATGAAAAAACTTAAACTTAATTTTCAAAATTAAGTTTTTACTTAACACTTAATAACTTAAATTAATTAAGTGAAATTAAGCTAAGTGTCCCACCCCTATTACCAGGTGAGAAATTAATACATTTTTATAAACGAAAATTTGATAAAAGCTTCCCAGTGGATGGAAAAGTTGCGAATTGTAAATACACTAAAGTGGATTCAAGCTCTAGATTAAGGTATTTTTGTGAAAAAAGAAAAGGTTAAAATCTTCATCTGTTTATTATACGTGGTAGAAGTAACGAGTGTAATAGTAGCACAAACTAGTTGCTAGCTTCTGTAACGGTAGCATACACTCGTTGCTAACGTCTGTAATAACAAAAATATATCATACTGTCGTAACTATGGACTATAATAATAAAAACGACAGATTTTGATGATTAATTAGAGATTAAATCCTAATTATAATGATTTCTAATTAGTGAAACTAGATTTTTATTACTGATGTGAGCAGTGGTGAACATAGCCAATCGATCTGCACAAAAAAATTATCTAATTAGTGCACCGAAGTGTTAGTTTTTTCATGCTTTATGTCTGTAATGGGGATGGGGGGTGGAGTACAGAGGAGCCGCAAAAACCTAAAAATTCAATTTACACTCGCTATTTTCTTCGAAAATATATGTGAGTTCCACAAAAAATCCGAAAATGAAATTACTCATAGCGGAATCGAAACAGTGTTATTGACAATTCTAGAACATTTTTCGTACTTATTATTAATGAAACTTTTCAAGGCACTGTTGTAGGCAATAGTAGTCAACAGCGTTCAGCAAAAGTACCACAATAAATGAATCAAGAGGATTATATAGAATCTGTACATCGTTAAAAAAAGTTTTTGTATTACTAAAAGCGCTTTATATCTTAAAATGTGACACGGTTTCTTGGATGGAAGAGATGTAAAATAATTTATACGAGTTACTTTGGTGAATAAAAAACAAATGTAATAACTAGCAATGAAGGAATGAAAATATGAATTTTTATTTATTAATTTTTATGTAGATAATAAAGCTATAGTGATAACTATCGTAACTATTTCTGCTCGATGTGATAGATGGAAGCTACTTGTTTGCGGATAATTTTAAGTCTCTAAACGTATATACATCAACGAAATTTTAAAAACAGCGTGCAATTGCTACGAAGAGATGAAATAAAATGAATTTCGATCACAACGAATCATTTTGTTTTTATCATAGCCAAAAATAAGTCTTTATTATGGTTAATACTGTGGATAATGGCAATCAGCAGCTTGTTTCAAGATGCCCAAATGACTACGATAGAGGTTGAATATTCAGAAGAGACAAACTATTGAGAATTTTTTCATCGAAGCTCAACAGTTACCAAAATGTATTTCCATTGGAATCTATGAGAACTTTTCGATATGAGTCCTAGCATATTTAGATAAACACATGCAGTTCTTTCATTTCATAAGAATTATATAGAATAAGTTCTTAATGAATAAATAAGTCTCTTATAAATTTTGGTAGCTCACAACCAACTCATTATCGTGCCTACCATGTATAATCCAAAAACGGATATCTATACCTACAACAATATCTTACAAAAACAGGGAAAAAACTTAGATTTCGAATTGTTCGTCTTCGTGTTCTCCATTCATTTGTTGTAGACAGAAGCAACGTTCTCTGATAGCCAGGAGATATGAAAACTATTATTGCAATCGTTATCTATGGTATAGGCAACGACTACAGATGAATATATATATATATATATATATAAAGAGAGAGAGAGAGAGAGAGAGAGAGAGAAATTCTCTGACTGGGAAAAAACTTAAATAAAAAATCTTTGAATTATTTATGCTTATGTTTTTACTCTCAAGTTATGGTATGAGGTAGCTCTTAATACCTTGCGCTGAACAAAATCGTAAATTGCGTATGCTGAAATTCTGTCAAGCTTCAATAAAAAGCACACATGAAAAACATAATAAAGAATTTCGTTTGATAGGCCACAAAGTAAATATATTAATCTCAATTGATTTATGGCCGTTTATACGGTTACCATCGATATTCAATAAAATAAATGCAAACTGTTTGTGCAATCATTACCTCACATGTCAAAAGCAAAATGTGTAGAATGAATAAATAAAAATTCTATAATACAAATAAATGAAAAATATTAGATTCATTGATAATCATATCCATTGCTAACTTCGAAGGAAAGAATGGTACTTGATAAGCATACATTGGAATTAACTGACTCCGGTGAAATATTTATCCACTGCTTAATTAAAATCATTCTAAAACTAGTGTTGAGCTATCAATTGTCTTCAGAAGGCTTTGCTATTTCAGTGTAGAATTTTTGAAAACAAGTTCAAACTCAATAAGAGTTGTGACGTAAAATACAATGAAATTGAATGGGCACTCTATTTTAGAATAAGAAATTTTTTTCTGAGTATATGCATATGTTACTGGGGAGAAAGTTTTAAAAAATCCGAATTTCGTATTTTTCATGGCTCTGTTTACTATTAATTTGTGTTTATAAGTCTGGTCTTTCGTCATCAGACGAGAGAAATAGAGGCAGCTCAAAAACAAATTGCTGTAGACATTGGAACATAGAAAAGTAAACAGGGTAAATAAAAATGAAAAGAAAATTTGTATCTTGATTGATTCATGCTACTGTTTTTAACGAAATTATTGTAAATAGTGTGACGGGACGACTTGTTCGTTTCTCCTTTTATTCCGAATGAATGCCTTTCGAGTAACAATGCTGATACGAATCATATGAACAGTGAAGAAGAAGAGAAGCAAATGTAAACTAATGATTAAATGATAAGAGTGATTAATGACTACATGCACTCATGATGGAGTCGTGATGGATGGAATCCGTCACAGATATGTCATAGAATCCCACTAAAATGACTGAAAAGAAAATTGCGAAGGAGAAAACAGCGAAAGACTTATAGCAACAAAATAGAATATCGATCATATAAGACTGTAGAAAACGATATTTTAACAACTTTGAGTAACACATGACAGGAGCGTGGCTACTGCTCTTCTCTTTACGCACAAACATCCACGTTCATCTCTGGGTAGTTTTAATACTTTAATTTATGACAAAAAAACGACGCAAGTAAGTCAGCAATAAAATGTAATCTTTAAGAAATGGGTGCACATTTGAATGATTTTTGTCAAAATATTGATTCTAATATAAAGTTCGATATTATTCTGTTTTTCTTCAAACAGTGCAATATGAGCACAATTTACCTAAATATTCGACAATTATATGTAAAATAAAAGTGAACTTTTATTTATATAAATGGTACAACATTAGGTAAATTTAACTGTCGAAAAAAATATCTTATTTTTTCGCTTTTGTATTGTTGCGAAAAATGGATTAAGACAAAGATAATTTCTGGATGTTGTAAGACAAACGGCTGAAGATCATCCTACAATTTTAACATATATTATTTTATTTTTTGTTGCAATTAATTGTCTTACCCAAATAATGTGTTTAACATCGCAAGCTCGCTCTGCATGTTGTTCATTATCAATAAATGAACATTCAACAATAATCAACGGAAATTGGAAAAGTTCAACTGGATATCTATCAAAGATGATCGCTGTTGTATCGCCCATAAACGCAAATAATGGAAATAATCTTTCTTCGGAAAATTGTAAATCTTTATCAGCTCGTCGCATGTCGATAATTTCTTTACTGGTCAAATGTTCATATTCGTTTTTTAATTTTTGCCGACGTTCATAAAAACCATAACCACGGCAAGGCACGGAATGATCCATATCAAATACACGAACTTTCATTGTTTTTCGAAACGGTAATAAATCATCAGGTTCGACGCCGAATAATTCACAATTAGGTGTCCGCTTTTGCGGTTCTGAATCTATTCTACCGGCTGCTCGAAGAATGCCACATTTTTCAATGAAATCTCGCATGGGTTCTACAGCTGATTTAGGAAGAAAAACTTGTGGTGGTCGAGCTCTACTCAATAATCTTGTAATATCAAGGCAATGATCTGAATGTGCATGTGAGATAAATATGTAAAGCGGCCGAGCTGCTGTTACTAAACAACCACAATCAAGTAACATGTCCAACTCAGGAATGTATAAACTCGTAGCATCAGCTGCTCTTGAACGACCGAGTAAGGTATACGAACCAATCGATGTTGGAAATTTCCATGAGAGAACATCATTCGAACATAGCCATTCACTGCTAGAAGGTGCCGACACAGGAAACATGGTCGACATTGTATTATGCGTGATCAAATGAATGAAAAAGTATGTGTCAGACTACTTGCAATATCCTTACAATTTTGCATCATACTATTGTATCAATGACGCATGTTATTGAGTAATCTCATTTTGTTAGAAGGACGGTAGTTTTTTTTTGCGATGTGCTCTATGACGCATTGTATAGACGAGGCATACATTTAAAATAACATCTTGCGAACTTATTTATATTCATTTTTGGTTCCGGTCAGAGATGCCAGTTGGGAAAGTCGAAAATTCGAAATTTCTTTATCAGAATCCGGAAAGGTTTTTAAGGGTCAATTTTAGTCACGTAAAGGACATTTTTCTCAGTTAAATTGTAAATAATTTTGTATACTTTCGCAAAATAAAACATACTGTAATTACACAAAAAAACAAACAAACAGCTAAATGTTGTTAACTTATAGAAAATAACTTAGAAATGATACAATTTGAAGTTAATTAACATGCTGTTTCTTGGCACAATATTTTTCACTAGAATGAATAAGTTTCAGCAGTTTTGGTTTTGATAAAAAAAATTATAAATTTCTGCACAGGATAAAGATGAATTAAAACGAATTTTTAATTCAGCTGCAACAAGTTTAATTGACATACGATTTCTGTTATCATCGTATAGATGCTTCATGGCTGAAAAAAATACTTTCAACAAATGGATTGCTACATGGAATAGAGATAAGGTCACCAATAGAAGAAAATATTAAACCTCTACTGAATTATTCACAATTTAGAATGCTAAAACAAATGAAATAAAAAATCGCTAAAATCCGGAAGCCGGAAAGAATCCGGAACAATCGGCATCTTTGGATTAAACTGTTTTGTTGAGTTTCTTATATATCCGGTTTCATTGTGAAAGCCAAATGGTTGCCAGATCTTCCGAGTTTGACATCTGACAACAACGTATCGAACGATTGATCTGTTTATTTCGTTTCCGAATATATGAATAGAAGAAAATAGCATCTACTTTAACCAATCGACCGGGATAAATCGACACATAAAAATCTAATCGACCTTTCAAGGGAGATCGGTTTTCCCTAGACTGAAAGGCTAGGGTCTAGAAACCGTAATTCACCTGTGTCTGTCTGTCTGTCTGTAACAATGGAACATTTGACCATTTCTGTGGCACAGGGTGCGGGTGTGGGTGTGGGTGTGTGGGCGTGGAAATTCTCTTCAATGGCACTCACACCCACACCCTGTCTGAAGTCGTACAATAGCCTACCATTAGGTGTAGATTAATATACCCTTTTGAATAGCATCTAATAGTAATCTACCCTCTAGCGTATTATAATAAACCCTCTCTTTGAACCGAATAATAATCTACCCTTCATTACTGAATTAGAAACGTTTGTGAAAAATGCGTTTATTAATCTAACCCTAATCGTTTAATAATGAACTGCTTTCCTTAAAATATGAAATACAAAACCCTTAAAAGAGCTCCCTATATCCTGTGCCTCTTCAAATACCCTTACGCTCAAAAACTGTTTGGATCATGAACCCTTCAAGGGTATATTCCATCCTCATAAACCTCTCAAGAGTTTATGAAAAGGAAAATCAAGTTGATTATTTTGCGCTTTTTTTACAGTACGGTTTATAGGAATCATACCCATGCCAACACCCACACCCACACCCAAATTGCATAAACAAGCAGATCATTTTCTGGATTAATTCTAGAAGCAGGGTTGCCAGATGCTACAGTCAAAAATCCGGAATCTGGTCGCCAAAATCCGGAAAACCCCAGAATTTTTCCTTCGAAATCCGGAAGAAATCCGGAAAGATTTTTAGCATCATTTTTTCGTTAACGTTCTGTTTTTCAATTAAGGTATCAATTTCCTTAATTTAAACTTTCAGAAAATATATTTCATTGGAAAAAATATCAAAAACGTAGTTAATTTAGTAAATAACAAACTGTGAACTATGCAATGAAATATTAAATGATACATTGTTTCCAGAGAGATTTAATTCATATTTATCTAATATTTGACGTGCATTTCGATGTATGTCAATTGCTGATTCACTTGAATCATGGATGAAATCAATAATAGCTGAAAAAATATGATTCACCATAATGTTAGAGATTAAAGTTTCGAATTGCTACCTTTTTTAACACCTACATCTGAAAAATATTGAACACAAAACGGATAAGTTTTTAAATTGCCTTTATTACTGGCATCGAATGAAAGAGAATAGTAAAAAGCAAGTTTCATTTCTTGTATAACATGATGTGTAAAGTAAGGTGCTAAAACATCTGTTGCAATTGCTGCTGCTTTAGTACGTCCACATGATAAAGAACTAGCAATTGATGATGAGGAAAACAAATTTTTTATAACAGTGGTCGTGCATTGTTGAGCTAAATATGAAATTCCATGTCTAACACCGTGATAAACTAGAGTTGCTTCTGCTGCAGCTATTTCATCTTTTTCACGATTTGGTTTCAGCGTTGTAGTAATCAATTGACGATCAACGCTAAAGGTTAACATATTTTTTAAGTGTTGTTTACTTTTAGAATGATGAATTACATCATTTTCCCACCATAATGAACATTAAACTGGCAATTACATGCCATACATGTTGCTTGGGATTTATCTGGTTTATATTCCTTTAGAAATGTAAATTCCTTTAACCATTCATACTTGAATATTCCTTTCTTTTTTTTCTCGTTTATCTTTTTGTTTTTTATCACTTTCAGATAATGTTGATCGTGCTTTTGATGAGAGTTCATCTTCTTCTAAAATTTCTACTTCTTCACTTTGATAAAACATTCTGTAATTGTAGAAGAAACATAAATTCAAAATACAAGTGACATTTTTTACTGTTGTTAATGAGTTACATAAGAAAAACTATAGACTAGAACTGAGAAAAATGACTGGTCTTTGAGGGGACCAATAGAAGGAAGTGCCGAACCTCTATAGAATCATTTGAACTTTCTAAAATATAAATGAACAGCTGAGACATAATTCAACATATAAAAAATATTCAGAAACCGGAAAAATCCGGAAGTTTCTGGGAAATCCGGAATTTTTCCGGAATTTTTCCGGGAAATCCGGATGATATGACAACCCTGCCTAGAAGTACTGAGATACTGATCGTTTGTTTGTTTGATTTTTTTGTTGCTTAGAAAAAGTAAAAAAGAAAGGAAGTGTGCACTGAGCACGTGTTTTATATAAAATTAAAGATATTAATACGAAAAACGAATACATCAAATATAAGAATGTTACGCCTGATTAATTCAGGTAAAAACGATGTTAGAGAAAACGAAAGCAGTAACTATAAATACGAAGTAATATCACTTTTACACATATCGACTGGTAAGTAGTCTTATTCAGTGATCGAAATTTTAAACATTCTTGAAAAATATACTGAACAGATGAATAAGATGATTATTAATAGATATAGACAATTAACTTTGATACGGAATGTAAATGCTTGTTAATGTAAGTGTTAACATTTCACAACATAAGAGTTTTGTTTATTGATATAAATTTTCTCAAACTAGAACTCGATGGAAATAAAATACAATAGAGATATACGCATATAGAAGCTCTCCACCTTCAAAAACTTCTTGCGCATATCCAATAGAAGACGAGTCAATGACTTGAAAATTTTTTTAACAATTAATGACAGTCGAGAAGGTTATGTCAAACAATATAATAAAACAAAATTGAACATTAATCGGTAAACAAACATATTTTCTGGTGCTTTTAAAACCACATTTATTAGAATTCAGTTTTACAGATTCGCTTCTCATCTTTGGTTGCTTACAAAAGGCTTTAAGAAATCGTTTTCGAAATGTTTGATGCTCTTTGAATATATTGTCCGTTTGTAGATAAACTATCAAATTACAAAACCTATTCAATATGAGGCAACAACAACCAATGTATAGAAATTTTATGCCAACGATAGGCTTAATAGGTACCATGCAGCCAAGATGTCTCATGTACGAAAAATATTTGACCATCTGGCTTGATGAAAACATGAATCTGACGAATGATGATTATAAATACTTGTTGATGCAGTTACAAACTGCAACAAATGATGTGTGCATTCTCAAACAATGTGATGATTTGATTCGTACCCTTAAAGAAACTAAAGCTCAAAAGATATGTCTAGTTTTATCGGATACTATCAATGAATCCGTCATAATCAGTATCCATGATCTTCCTCATCTTCACAGTATTCATGTCTTTAGCAAAGAAGTACATGACCAAAATGATTGGAGAAAGAAATGGACAAAGATTAAGGACGCTTATACAGATATTGGAAAAATTTGTCAGGCATTGAAATTGATAAATAAGCAATTCAATCAAGACAATATTTCGACAAGTATTATCAATATGAACGAGGATGGTTCCTCCAAAAATCTCGATCAATTGGACCCTTCATTTATGTATACTGGATTATTAAAGGAAATTCTTCTTGAAATTGAATATAAAAAGAACGACATCACAGAGTTTGCTCGATTTTGGCATGCCGAAGACATAGGTAACAACTTTATAGAGAAAAATATTGCTGAGTTCGAACATGATTATAGTCCAGAATCTCCTATTATGTGGTACACAAAAGGAGGTTTTATCAGCGAAAAGCTGAACCTATCTCTACGAACGATGGATGTAGAAGCAATAATGAAAATGAGTTTTTTTCTTTGTGATCTACACCGACAAATCCAGAAATCGTACAACGAATATATCAATTTTAATGGAACGAAGGTTTCAGTAGTTTATCGTGGACAGGGACTTTCGACATACGATTTCAATAAGTTGATCAAAGGAGGACTGATATCGTTCAACATTTTTTTATCTACTACTATAGATAAAGATGTGGCTTCTATGTTCATGGAAAGTATTTTAAAAAACCCAGGTACAGTGGGTATACTTTTTAAAATACTCATCGGTTCTACAATTTCATCGACTCCATTTGCGGACATTGGTGAAGAAAGTCATTACAATATTGAACGAGAAATACTCTTCACAATGCACAGTGTTTTTAGAATTGATAAAATTAAAAAATGTGACAGCAACGATCGACTTTATGAAGTAACTTTAATACCAACAGCAGACGATGATAAACAATTACAAGAACTGACAGACATAGTACGAAAAGAAGTTTCCGGTTCTACTGGTTGGCATCGATTAGCGAAATTGCTCTCAAAAATAAATCAGTATGATAAAGCTGAAAAAATATACATGACACTCCTAGAACAGACATCAGAAAACAATAGTCGAAGACAAATTTATCACGAAATCGCCTTCTTGAAGGCCAATCAAGCAAAGTATCAAAAAGCACTTGAATTTCATAAAAAATATTTGAAATACAGTGAAAACTATCTCCATCAGAATTATCCTGATCTTGCTATACCATACAATAACATGGCTACCGTATATCAAGACCTGGGTGAATATTCAAAAGCACTTGAATTTTATGAAAAATCGCTTTTAATTATGGAAAAAGTTCTACCTCCCTATCATCGTGACCTCATTACAATCTATAATAACATTGGTACATTGTATCAAAAAATGGGAAAATACTCGAAAGCGATTGAATTTTACCAAAAATCACATGAAAACATGAAAAAAGTACTCACTTCAATTCATCCTTATATTGCTGTCTCCTTCAACAACCTTGCTGCAGTGTATGAAGCTATGGGAAATTTTTCTAAGGCACTTGAGTATTATAAAGAATCATTACAAATACGTGAAAAAGCTCTGCCTTCAACACATCCTGATTTGGCTTCATCCTATACTAACATTGCCGCAGTGCATAACACCATGGGTAATTATTCCAAAGCATTTGAATTTTACGAAAAATCACATGATATTACGACAAGAGCTCTGTCACAGTATCACTTAGATTCGGCTATCGTATACAACAATATTGGTACAGTGTATGGTCAGATCGGTGAATATAGTAAAGCCTACAAAAACTTCGAAAAATGCTCTGAAATTATGAAAAAAGTTGCCGATCAGAATGATCCTCGTGTTATAGGATTCGACAATAAGAGTCGCTCACTGTTTGAGAACATGCCAGAAAATCTTGAAGATCTTAAATCCTGTGAAGAATCTCTTAAAGTCATAGAAAAAGTTCTTCCTAAAAATCACCCGGCTTTGGCAGTAATATACAATAACCTCGGTACAATATACGGTACAATGGGAAAATATCATCAAGCGTTAGAATTTTATAAAAAGGGCCAGGAATATTCAAAATCATCAGTAGACTTTGATGATATTAATAAAACATCTGAAAACAACGATAAATGCTCAGAAGCTCTTATGCTTTATGAAAAGTCACTCGAAACGCTAGAAAAATCTCTAATTCCTAACAATCTCTCATTAGCTTCATTCTACATTAACATTGGTGGCGTGTATCTCAATATGGGTGAATTCTCGAAAGCACTTAAATTTTACGAAAAATCCCTTGCAATTAAGAAAGCGGTTCTGCCTCCAGATCATTCTGACTTTGCTACATTCTACAATAACATTGGTCTGGTATATGATGAAATGGGGGAATATCATCAAGCAATTGAATATTACGAGGAATCACTTAAAATTATGGAAAAAGCCCTGCCTTCTCATCATCCTGATTTGATTTCATACTACAACAATATTTGTGCAGTATACATAAAGAGCAACGAAAACATTAAAGCACTTGAATACTACAAAAAATCGAAAGAGATACAAGAAAGAATTCTGCTTCCCGATCATCCAAATTTAGCAACATCCTACACTAGCATTGCTTTAATACATAACAATATGGGTGAATACTCCAAAGCGATTGAATTTTTGGAAAAAGCACTGCAAATACGACAAACTTCTTTATCACCAAACCATCCCGATCTGGCTACATGCTACAACAACATGGGCTTAATTTATAACAATATGGCTCAATACAAGAGAGCATCAGAATTTTACGAGAAGGCTCTCGAAATCATGGAAAACGTGCTACCTCCAGATCATCCAGATCTAAGTAAAACCTTCAGCAATATTGGTTTAGTGTATCTAAAAATGGGTGATTACTCGAATGCACTTCAATTCTATGATAAATCACTTATAATCATGGAAAAAACTTTGCCCCAGAATCATCCCAATTTAGCTACAATCTACAACAATATCGCGGGAGTGTATAGCAACACGAATGAATATTGTAAAGCATTGGAATTCTACAATAAATCACTCGAAATACGACAACGAAATCTGCCGGCAAATCTTTTTCACTTGAGTACGTCCTACAACAATATTGGTCTGGTACATAAAAAGATGGGTGCATACTCTGAGGCGCTTAAATCTTACCAAGTATCACTTGAAGCCATGGAAAAAGCTCTGAGTCCAAATCACCCTACGTTGGCTACATTATATAACAATATAGGTTCAGTTTATAATGATATCGGTGAATATCAGAAAGCACTTAGATTTTACCAAAAGAGTCTTCCAATCACAGAAAATATGATTCCGCCTAATGACCAGTTGTTGATCACGTGTTACAATAAGATTGGTGCAGCATATAAAAATTTGGGTGAATATATGAACGCACTTCAATTTTTTGAAAAATCACTCAAAATTGAACAACGAATGCTGCCTCCAAATCACCCTAATTTGGCAACGTATTACATCAGCATAGGTCTAGTTTATTACAATATGGGTCAATATCGAAAAGCACTTGAGTTTTACGAAAAGGATGTGGAAATCATGAAAACAGCTCCATCTCTAGACCATACTGATTTGGCCACTTCCTACAACAACACTGCTCTAGTATATGATATAGTTGGTGACTACTCAAAAGCGCTAAAACTCAACGAGGAATCTATCTACATACGGGGAAAAGCTCTACCCAAGAATCATCCTGATTTAGCTACATCCTATAACAATATTGGTGTTGTGTATAACAATATGGGCGAATATTGGAAAGCACTTGATTTTTACACCAAAGCACTCGAAATACACGAAAAAGCCCCAGCTCGCAATCATTGTGATATAGGCCTGTGCTACAATAATATAGGTTTAGTTTATAACTATTTGGGTGAATATAAAAAGGCAGAAGAATTTCATGGAAAATCTTTTGAAACAATGCAAATGGCTGTTTCATGTGATCATCCTTCATTCTCTTCAGTTCATCACAATACTGGTATTATGCATTATAATATGGGAGAATATGCCAAGGCTCTTGAACTTTTCGAAAAAGCGCGTAGTTTAAGAGAGAAAGTATTGCCTATGAGTCATCCATCATTGATGGCATCCTACAATTATATTGGTCGAGTTTATAAAAACATGGGTGAATACTCGAAAGCGCTTGAGATTTTTAACAAAGGTCTTGAAGGCATGAAGAGTATGCCAAATAAGAACGTTTGGAGCTTCAGTAATATATATTTATTTTACTCTCAACGTTTAGCGTCAATCTTTGGGACAGATTTATTGGAAGAACATCCTATAAGTGCTATGATCTATAGTAACATTGGAGATGTTTATCGACTGATGGGAGATTATAAAAAGGCGTTGTCATTTCATCAAAAAGCATTAAAAGTTCAACAAAATGTTCAATGTAATCCTTTGCAGCGTGCAACAATATATGTGAATTTAGGTGAAACGCATCGTGAACTGAAAGATTACAAGAAAGCATTGGAATATTATGAGAAAGGATTAGAACTTCATCAAATGAAATTACCAGAAAATCATCCTGATTTAGGAGTTCTATTTCACAATATGTCAAAGTTATATTTGACTTTTGGAGAACATAGCAAAGCAATAGAAGCTATACAACAAGCATTAAAAATTGCTGAAGAGAGATTGCCATCAAATCATCCTCATTTTCTTGACTGTCAAAAAACATTGTTATTACTTCAAACAGATGTGTGAAATTATGTTTTAAATCGCCTGTATAAGCTAACTTGGGGGATGAGTATATCAAAATATACAAATCTAGAGCTTTAAAACCGAATAATGCTACATTATTCACTCGTAACATAAATAAGAACTGATGCTTCATAAATGAATACCATCATTGATTCGAATGATAAAATTGCCGGATAAAGAAGAGCTATATCTAAGTTAAATGTAAATACTTAATAAGTGGGATCGGTCAATAAAAGTACTCTCATCGTTGTGTAATTGTGCCAGTGTAAATGGGTGTGCCGAGTATATGAGAAGTAATCTAGAAAAGACATAGATAATTTCGTTTGACATGAAATACCATTTTCGATAAGGTTTGTAATAAATTGGCCCAATGATTTTTAGTGCTTTAATTCCTGGCACCTACTCTATTTAAAAGACAATCGACAGCAATCACTAACTACTTAGATAATTCAGGTACCGTCTTTTATGATTATGTATCAATGTGGTGGAAATACGTAGATGTAAGTGAAATTTATTCAAATAATACAAACTGTTATTAAATCGTTGAACATAAAAATGCTAGCTGTATTCTTCTAGGGATAGGAGTGAAAAAAAGGAGATCCTGGTGCTGGATGAGTGGTGATGATGTTAGTTTATAATATATTATAAAAGAAAAACTAATACTTTTGGACCTTAGCGTAGTCATGTAGAAGCAGTGGCAAAGTTAGGCTACACATATTAAGCATGAAAGATAAACCACCACATTTGTACCTCCGTCTTTTTATTCGATAAGATGAGTGCACTATATCGAAATGAAATCGATGTTGAGTAATAACACAATAGTGAGTCATATCACTTCTGCACTAAAATTGCGTGTATACATGGATGAGGAAAAGCCTTTACTATTATGAATAATTTCTTTATTACGAAATAACTTTACAAACCGTGGGCAAAGTGCTCTAAACAAACTTTAAAAATGTTTCGGTTCCCCACTAAAGATTGGTGACTATCAGTTACATTTAACATGAACTGAATCAATGTTCAATACAATATATATGTCGTTGTAACGATCAACAAGGGTTGGAGTAGCTTGTGCCATTCTGGCAAAGATGTTTATTAGGCTACTTCAAGTACCCAGAGTATAACGACAAAACTAGAGAGTGTCGCCTATGCCCGTCGGTATGATGGTGTATCGTGTCAGCTGACATCTCTAGTTCTGTGCCTACTTTACGTTGAACACACGCTTATATAGGAGAGTGAACAAGAGAAATATAGAATAGAACAATGGTGACAGAACAGAAAGAGAAGGAAGGAGAATCATCGGAGCGTGCCATCAATATCGGCGCAGTCGTATCGAAGTTACACCGGTCGACGACGTTATAACTTTGTCGTACGATATTGAGGAAGTTAAAACTTCGACACATATACAGCTCGGAGTCATTTTTAATTCACTTTAAAAAACAAATACTAAATAAAATATGCTTTAAGTAAATACATCATCAAAAATAATATTTTATCAATAGAAATATTCATTTATTAAATAATAGTGATTATTCGTAAATTACGAACAAGAAAGGGATTATCATGATGAGGTTTCTTGATATCTATGTGAACTGTTTCCGAGAAGTTCGATGATGGATCTTGAGGGTATGGGTGTGGGTGTTAGTGAAGAGACAAAACACCCACACCCACACCCTGCACACCGACAACCAAGCCCACACGTTCACCATACCAACACCCACACTTACACACACATCCAGCAGCACCCACCCACACCCTCAAGATGACTAAGGAGTGTTGCAAAATACTGGCTATACACTAGCAATTGGAAAAAAGTTAAGCCTATGAACCAGATGGCTATCAAACTTTTATGCTGATGGGACTTTAGTGCGAACATATTTCACGTGATAGGAATAAAAAAAATACGAAAAAGTAATCGCTGTTCGAACGTGATATTGGATTCACATATTTAAATCTTGTCTTGAGAGTCGGAAATCTATCATATTACACACAAAAAAATTTTCGGGGAATGGTCAACCCTGAAAAAGGGTTTATAACTGCTAAATCAGTTTATCAATTGGATGTACCCTCTGATAAACCCTTTTTCCGTTTATAACTGTTCAAGGGTTTGTCACCCGTTGCAAACCGATATACCCTTGTGCTGGTTTCACTCTTGATAAACCCTTTTTCCATAGATCAACAGAATCAACCCTGAAATACAGAGTTTATCATCACCTATAAGAAACGCACCTGTCAGGGTTGATTCTGTTGATCTATGGGAAAAGGGTTTATCAAGAGTGAAACCAGCACAAGGGTATATTGGTTTGCAACGGATGACAAACCCTTGGATAGTTATAAACGGAAAAAGGGTTTATCAGAGGGTACATCCAATTGATAAACTGATTTAGCAGTTATAAACCCTTTTTCAGGGTTGACCATTCCCCGAAAAGTTTTTTTGTGTACTATTTAGTATTTATCACGTAGAGTTTATTGTTGTATTTTCTAACGTTTGTCTTGTTCTTGAGGATGAGGATGAGGGTGACGATGAAAATGAGATTGAAAAGATTGGGCCAGAGTTGATTTAATTTTGATAATCGACTAGGAAGATTAAAATCAACTAAACTCTGTCTTTAAGAGCAAAATATCTAGTTAAAATCGGAGTAAATTAATTGCTGATTTTCAGCAGTCTTTTGTGTAGGTCACTATGAGCGTATGCAGCTATATGGTGGCTAATTGTGGCATCATCCATTGGCCTTTCGAAAGAATGTTGAGTCTTACAGAAAATACTGCTTATAGCTATAGAGAATTAGCAGCTCTTGTAACCTGGGTTCTGCTTAATTGATCCTTAAAGGATATTATATCGTGTTTTTGCGATGCCATACGATAGAATATAATTATCTAGTATTACAGTCGTTACAGTAGAAGGAACGATACCCTACAGTATCATTCGCTGAATTTATAAAGTAATTGTATTGTTGCAGAAGTTGTTCATGGCGAACTTTGCATCTATTATTTACCATGGCTACAAAGTATCGTAATCCTATTTTGCAAACAATTACTTTGCTTAATTTTACTAACATTCACGATAGCTGCATCAGATTATCCAAATGGTCGTCCTGGAGTTCGATGGCACCTCAAAGACTTTTTTCCTAGGGATAGGTTTGGTTAAAACACGACTTTCTACAAGAAAAGCAATTCTGTTATTTATTCTTAAATGTGGTAATGCGTCATACATGCGAAAATCTTAAGTTTCTTAAATAGATACGAAACTCTAAAGGTTCTTTTCGTTGGTATANCATTGGATGATAGTCTTGGAAAGACGGGCACATGCATTGAAGAAGGTATTTTTCGATATAATATACTGCAAAATCATCAGAAATCAGTTGGCTATGATATAGCCGTTTGTTCTGAAGATGCAAATGCAGTCATTAAAAAAGTATCATATAATTCTACAACTAATAAGTTCAGTGGATTTCCGATCTCATTGAAACATGGTATTCCTTGTTCTCGTCAATTTGAAACTGATTCATTTGATGAATTAAAAAGTTGCTTCGAAAATAAAGATAAAACATATTATCTTAATGTTCATATGGTGAAGCCACTCATAGCTTCTAATCCATATTCATCGCCGCTTCTACTAGTTGCTTATGGAATCAACAATAATTTTAAAGCCATTGATGTTCTCAATCGATGGATATGGATGTTCGAAAATGCTAGACAGTCCAATGTTCGGATAGTTGCCTTCGCAACTGATTGTGATCCTAGATACTTGCTTGCGATGCGTCTTGCTACAGGTTTTTTTGGAAGAATTAACAATATGTCTATATGTGATCGTTAGGATGCTTTCGATATCGATCTACCTAAAAGCTGGTCGAGCTGGTTTTTCTTGGGAACTCGTCAGCTGTTTTTCTGTTTTCAAGATTCAATACATTTGTGTACTAAACTTCGTAATCGTATTCTTTCCAAAAAAGCATCAATGCTAATAGGAAAAGAAGAAGTTTCTATTGAAGTATTAATGGAATTAATTGAAAAGAAATCAAAGCTTGCGCATGGACTTGTTAAAACAGATATTGAACCAAAAGATCGACAAAATTTTTCGTCGTGTATCAAACTTTCAAGCGATGATGTATTCACTACGCTGGAGGACATCGAAAATTCTCAAGCTACACGAATTTATTTGCATCTTTTACGTTGTATCGTGTTAGCATATGTGGAGCATGATACATCAATCATTAATCGGATCTATTATAGTTGGTATGCAGTATTTTTGTGTCGTATATGGAAAAGTTGGTTGGATATAATTGATGAAAAAGATATTTTAGGATATAATGTTGAAAATAAAAAGGATTCATTTATCACTAGTCCTGCACATTTTTCAATTGAGCTCAATGCTCATAGCTTGTTGGCAATTTGTCTTCTAGTACATCGACATCATATGCCGAACTCTGCTCTATTGATATCGAATTACAATTCGCAACCATGCGAAGCTACTTTTCGACTTACACGATCAATGTTAGGAGCTTTCTCATCAGTACTAAATTTTACTACCAATCAGTTTCTTAAACGAGCTGACAAAATTTCGATTTTAACGAAATTAGAGAATAAAAGCGAGTCAGATCAATCAGACTGCTCATTGACATTTCTGAAGCATCATAAACGACGAAGAAAAGCTATTTCATTGAATAATCTGACGTCGTCTATAGATATCAATCTTCTCACATATAATCAAATTAAAACAACTATTCATCAAGCATTTGATGATGCATATAAGACTCTTTCTAAAGTTGATATTAATGCTGCTTTGGAAAATAAAAAAATAACTACTATAAATAAAGTTAGTTCGTTTATAAAAAAAATTTGAAAAAAAAAATAAAAAAGACTATCTTATGATGATAATGAAACCTATTCATCTGATGATGAGCCAAGTGAAGAACTTGAAACCAACATAAAGATCATATTGAATTCAGATGATGAGAACTCATCTGAAGACGACGAGGAAGAAGATCTATCATCTATTTCAGCAAGTGGAAAATATCGATTTGATGGAATGAAAGTAATTAATTCAGTTTCTCCTGCATTATCTGACTCTTATTTTTCTGTTGACATCGATGGAAAAAAATATATATTCACAAGCAAACCGCTTGCTGGCTTTTAACTGATAGTAAAGATAATTTATCAGCTGATCGCTTAAAGAGAGTTCAACAGTCCAGTCGATAAATAAAACGAAAAAAGTTCATACACTAGACGGGACTAGTTCATTACAATTGCTTCTTGTTTCATTACACTTTGTCTAGCTTATATGTTTTTTTCTCATTTCATTTCTTTATTGTTTATTGTTAGTTTTTCTTTTTTTCTTAAATAAAACGAACACCAATTAAATTACTCTATTATTCCAGTTGACTTGATGTCCATCTTATTTGGTGACGTGTCTAGAGTTCTGGCGATGGTAGATTTTCTTCTATCTACTGTATTTTGCATGTACATTAAACTGAGATGATGAGAAACCTAATTTGGTAAAGTATCCTTCGTTGATATCGATTTATTGATATTTAATATATTATTAGAGGTTTATAAATACTAAAAGAATCCTGAATCTGCCTTTTCCCCCTTGGTTACATTCCTGTATAGCACAGCATATTTGAGACACAGTAATCCTACCACAAACTTCTTATTTGAAAGTTGTGCTTCTTTGACCATCGATTGTATCGCATGTTACAACATAATGACAATCATTTAGAGAATTTGACAAGGAATTTTTTGATAAAAAACGTTTTTTCCTATGCCAGAAAATATGGGAGAAAGATGCAAAATATCGAGAAGGTCACTCATTATGGGTCACCCGTTATAAATAAATATTAATTTTCCCCACTTTTTTCAAGTTGTGCTTTTTTCCTCTATCTGGTCTTGATCATGTTGTTTTTCTCTTATATGTATTTTCCCCAATAAACAAGCTTATGTAACTTATAGCAATCACTTCATTCCCTTATTATTATTAGTCAAAGTCCAAGTAGGATTTCTTGACTTGACTTTTCTTGTCCGTTACAGGTCAGGAATTTCACTAATTATCTTTCAGCTTACGTGCACGGCGTGGGCAGGAACATGAGATGCACTGTAAAAAAAGCGTAGATGAATATATCATTCAAGGGCTTCTTATACGTTGCACTTTCATAAACTCTTGAAGGGTTTCATATGTTTCATTAGGATAAAACTGTGGCGCACTTACGCCGTAACTGCGATCGCACTGTGACCCGTAATTGCGGAAAATTGCGATGTAACTACGTGTAATTACGATGAAAAAAACCCAATGACGCATAACTGCGGCCACGTTTTTCGCAATTATAGGTCATAGTGACGTCGCAATTGGTACAAAAGATGGCACAGATTAGGTTTTCATTTTATTTGTATTTTTATTGTGAGTTTAAAAAACTTTTTGCACACAAAATAAAAAACTTAACACTATAAAATTAAAATTCTTATAAAAAATTAAAAACAATTTTTAAATTAAAAATTTAGTAAAGTAACTGTTAACAAAATACTTTAATTCTAAAACTTAAGGAAAATTAAAAATAAATATCTAGAAAAATAAAAGAATTAACATCTAAAAACATTTAATAAATAAAAGAAAAAAAATTAGAAATAATTTAATTAAATAGAAAAAAAATTAAAATATACATTCTACTGCTTATAGTAGAATGACTTATGAACGAAAATGTGACGAGCACTGCTATTTATACTGATTTTCTGTGACTACGTTTTATTGCGTTCGAGGGTAGTCAATTACAAATAAGGAGGATTAATTTATAATTGATCATTTAATCGGCGCTTTTTCTTACAGTGTAGTTAGTGAACATCCTAACAAACCGTCCTTTTTTATGCCAGTATGATTCACGTATGCACTTTCAAGGCAAACAATTACCTGTAATTTTGAACAATATACAGGTGTCGGTAAAAAAATGAAAGAAAAACATGTTTATATAAGAAATGAATTTACGCAATGGCCTGAAATGAACATTTTTTTACTTTATAAATAGTGTTATATGGCGAAAAAAGCATACATTAATAAAAATGGCAAGGTATGTATAATATTAAAGTTATAAATATATAGTTGCCACTCCTATTTTTTTTTCAGGTATACATCGCTGTTATTAGCTGTTATTTTTATCGTTAATATTGATAATTCTTGGAATCAATTGGCAATTAATATTCCATCATTGGGTACTATTCGAGGTGAAATTAATCCATTGGTAAATAAAGTTCGCCAATTTATTGGTATTCCCTTCGCACAACCACCAATTGGTTCACTTCGTTTTAAATCACCTGTTGCTCTAAATCCTTTGCCATCTAATAATACTTATAACGCAACAGCAGCTGCACATCATGGTGGATTTCCTTTATTCACTTGTATGCAGATCTCATTCACAAATTCGAGTGTAATCTACGGACAAGAGGATTGTCTGTATTTGGATATTTTCTTGCCATTAACCATCAGCAATGGCTCTCTATTACCTGTAGCTATCTATATTTATGGTGGTGGTTTTCAAACATCAGATCCACATGATCCAAGTCAAATAATTTCATTGTATCAAAATATAATTTATGTTGAGATACGTTATCGTATTAATATATTTGGTTCTATGGCATCAACAGCTTTATCAGCTAGTCGATCAGGACCAATTCAATCGTCAGGTTTACAAGGTTTCGAAGATCAACAAATGGCATTACAGTGGGTTCAAGCTAATATTCAATGTAAGTGAACACTGAATAATCTTTTATTACAGTTCATTTCATTTTTTTTAGTTTTCGGTGGCAATCCTAATCGAATTACATTACAAGGACATTCAGCTGGTGTTGATTCCATTTGTCTTCATTTAGTTGCACCTGCATCTCAAGGTTTATTCCAACGTGCTATTATCGAAAGTGCAGGCTATGATATAGAACAAGTACCTTTACAACAAATGGAAATAATCGGCAATAATATATCATCTTATTTTTGTAGTTCATCATCAAATGTTATTTCATGTTTACAATCAATTAATGCAACTGTTTTACTTCAATATGCTCAATCAAAAGGTTATTTGAATTTTTTTTCTCCAAACGGTTTTCATCCATCAATTGACGGTTTGATTATTCCTGATTCAATAACAAATTTATTTCAGCAGAAAAAAATTTCAAATGTTTCTCTTTTAACTGGAACAACGAATGCAGAATTCGGTTTATTTATTGCGGGTGGTTTTGAACCGGGATGGCAAGTAGCAAATTTAAGTCAAACTGTATTATCTCAATGGGTTCAATTATATTCTAATGGACAATCAGCATATTTAAACACTACATATAATCCATACATTGATCCATATGTACCATTGGCATTGGTTAACTATTATGGTTTAACAGATGCATTATCGACGAGTGTAATTCAATGTTCTGTTCGTCGAACAGCTAGTTATTTAAGTAATAATGGGAGTGGATCTGTATATTTATATTCATTTAATTATATTCCATTATCATCTCCTTTTGCTAGTTTATCACAATCAGTTCATGGTCAAGAACTTCCTTTTGTATTTAGTACACCAAATTCATCAGCTCTAACACAACTTATATTTCCAGTTAATGAATTTAATTCAAATGAACAATTATTAGCTTTAGCAATGAGTTTAATTTGGGTAAGATTTATTGTTAATGGTAATCTAAATACACCCCTCGTTGGTGAAGGAACTAATCCATTAATAACTGAATTGGTTAAACTTGGTGGTTGGCCAAATTATTCAACAAATGCTACGAGTAATAGTTCTGCCTTTTTAATTTTCGCCAATACAGCATTGGGAAATAGTAGTGCGGCAATTCTCTTAGCAAAAAGTGGTTATCATTCACCAGTATGTACTGCATGGGATCAAGTAGTACCAAATCCAATTATCATAAAACGATGTGCGATTGGTTATAGTGGTCCTAATTGTTCAATAGCAAGTTGTAGTAGATCAAATACAGTTTCATTTATGATTTGCTATATACTAACCATTCTTATTATTTCAATTATTTTTTAGTGATTAATTCTATAATTGAATTTACTTGTGTGATTTCATGAAATTATTTTCTCATATTTTTGTGAAACACGACCTGAAAGGAGTGTTGAAGTGTTTAGGGTAGAAATTTGCACCCCCCCCCACCCCCTCCCCCCACAGACCGTTACAGACAGTTGATTCCCCCACCAGAGACCGTTCGAGACCGGTGAAGCAGAGTTCAAGGGTTAAGACTAGAATTTGAATTTTTTCCAAAATATTTTAATTAATTAGCTAATTACAGTCTAATTAATGGATTAATCTTCACAGACCTTGAGAGAAAAGTTTTGGATCCATCACAAACGGTATTAGAAATGCAGAGAGAATAGAGAGGTGGAACAATGACTGTGATACACCTCAACAGTTACGTCGTGTTTCACATTTAAATCCCGAAGGGATTGCGCTAACAGCTTTATTAACTAACTTTCCAATACAACTGTCTTAACAAATGATAATTTAACCTTATTCAAGATCTTTATGAAAGGTTTTTGGTAGACTACTGAAATATATCTGACATTGTATATTCCTAGCAAACTTAACAAGAGATATTGAGGGTGTGGATGTGGGTATTCGAAAATCAATTACTACAGTTAGATACACTCAAAATATGGTTTACAGAATTTTATGTCAATTTATTATTTCAAATAAGACAAACCAATGAAAGAATATGCATCGCAATTCTCAATCTATTGTCAGCATAGAAAAAAATTTCAATAAACATATTAATATATCTCGGTCCAGCAGTTTTCAAGAACGATGTTACAACAAAAAGACCTTTATCACAACATTTCCACAAATTTGCATTACTCATTTTAAAAATATAATGTGTTTCACTAGTTTTTTTTTCAAATAGCTTTTAATTGTTTTAGATTAGGTTGTTTTGATTTTAGTCATTAAATAGAGCAATTTGAAGGATATTACCCGAGATGACATTTATTCTTTTTGATGTACATCAATTCTTTTCATGATGACCTCGAATCTCCAATGAAATATACATTTACTCTGAATAATTCTGTTTCACTCCCACTATTGAAAGATTCACACTGCATATCAACGTCATTTAATGGGAAATCATTGTAAAAAAAGGGTGTGCGTGTAGGTGCAGGTGCCTGTTATTCACCCAGACCCAGACCCAGAACCATACTCATACGTAGATCTACACTCAGACCCAGACCTGGACCCACACCCTTAATAGCATTTTTATCCTAATATCATAAAATAAGTATTTTCATCTTACTAGGAACAGCATTTCTGATAGAGCAGAATTAGCAGAGTAACAAAGAAAGCTGTCGTCACAACACAACTAACAATAAGTAGTCCGAATGCGCTTTCAAATAATGTTCGCTTGCAATAGTATGGAGATAATGGGTCGTTGTATTGTATGTTACTGTACTCAACAAAGATGTGTTTAATACCGATTCCAAAGAAAACCACTGTCGCGATGCAAGCGCAACATCCAATTCCTACAAGCGATACAAAAAAACTATGTGCAAATGTTTCCATATAAACCTTCAAATGTTCTTTTATAGGTTTACAGGCTATGTATCTCGACGTGCTACCTTAAAAGAAGCCAATAACGAGTTCTCTTCAGAAAATAAGCAATAGGGTTGGAGTATAACTATAAATATTTCTTTGAACCATGCGTAAAACTCAAAAATGAACCACCCAACTCAGATAGATCCTATTCGATTCGGCAGCATTTTAATAGTTCGACGAGATGTCAGTAGTGTATCTTCTGTTGTGAGCATACACCAGGCAAATAAGTAAAACACACTTTGAAAGACCCGTGTGACTCGTTTATTTATTGATGGAACACCATAAAATTCGTACAAATGATACTTTAAGAAACGCGGTTAAAGCCACTTGGCTTTTAGCTTCATTAAAATAATTAAAATACGAAAAATGGAAAATCCTTCGTAGACTATAGCTGTTTTCCAAAGTAATCAGTGACTGGAGAAAGAATCTCTTTATTTATTTCTGAATTTCGAACAGAATTTATCTTTCTTCTTGGTCACTCTATTGTTATTTGTCGCATTGCTACTATATTCTCTCGTTATTTTCCTTTTTCTTTATTTGACGGTATCATTTGAATAGTTAATGAATTAAGTGGCTAAGAAGACTGTTGTAAGTTTGCAGACAGCATCAAATGGCTCAAATAAATATTTCGATCTGCTCACAAACGCTAATGCCGTTTATTCGTCAAACTTATAACGTGGCAAATGACTGTTTCAGTATTGATTATATAAGAATTATCGCAAATCGATAAATCAATCTTCCATCATAGTTGGTATCTTTAATATTAATTTTTATTTGTAATTACATAAATCGAAAGCTACAGTATTTAAAATATTCGAGACCAAATTCCAGTCAGTGAAATTTGAGCGAAGATTTTGGATTATTGTAAACTACTGTGCAGCAGGCAAAGCGATGTTACTGTTTTTATCTAAACCCTTTTCCCTCAGTTGCTAATATCTTTAAAGCTTGGTATCTCTAATGGATGTGAGGGGAGCTAAAAAACTTCGATCCAAAACTTGTAATCTCTATTTTCTTCGAAAATATATCTGAGCGTGAAAAAATAACAGGTCATTAAAGCTCGATTAAACTTAGCAGATCTGAATGTGAGATATTTTTCTTGACATCATTTGACATTGCTCGCATGTCAAAATCCCTCCACTAGTAGCGACAAAAATGACTTTATCGATATGTATCGTGCTTGTTTCTGTGGTATATAATATTCAATAATTTTTGCTCTTTTCGAATTCAGCCATGTGGCTTGCTTAATAAAGTCTATATGTGAAAAAGAAACGAACGTAATTTATACGAACCTAATGCGACATTGTGACTGGATGATCTGCTAACATCTACTTCCTTGCGTCCACTCGCGTATGTAGTTTCCGTCGTTGTGGTTGTAATCTTTTCAGGTTTTACTAGTTGCTTGGCGACCCATATAAGAAAGAATGGCAAGAGAAACTCTGAGACACCGGATCCAATCAAATAAGTGCGCACACCGTCGACACATTGAGTATTTGAGTGATTGACACCAAACGCAAAATTAATGATTGGAAGCGGAAATCGAAGTAAGGCAATACAATAGAAAACTGCCTTAACTTTGTTAGTCATTGTATGTAATTCTATCTTATGCCTGAAGCAAGTACGAGACGTGTCTGTTGCACCTGCGCAGAATGAGAAATACAAAGTGCGTTGATTCAATGATGTATCGAAAAAGCCAAGAGCAAGCATTATAAAATATGCCTGTATCTTTTCTTATCGCCTAACTACTCTAACAGGTGAAGCAAGTCATGGAAAGAATTTAAATGATCTATGATACAGCTACAGCTAGATAGGGAATCATTTTATCTTCTATTTAATTTCATTCGAGATTCAACATAGCAAAGTTTCTAGGGTGTGGGTGTGGGTGTGGGTTTAAACAGTCTATATTTATACTTACACCCACAACCAACATTCATGTATAAAAAAAAGTCTGTCAATAGATGCAAACGCAAGGGGGGAAAGGTGATTCTATGGCGATAGAATCACTCGGAATCACATGGAATGAAACACCTAAGAAATGCATATGTATGCTTCTTATCATGCTTGGTCGAATACATTTCATTGGTTAGAAGCAGTTAAGTAGTTTTTTGGCAGTTTTTCACCGAGTAGTAGAATTTATTTCACCATTTTACAGCAAAGAAGCAGATTTTATTAGACTTCTGTATACTTTCGAAGAAAATATACACGTTTGACGGTTTAAATCGAGGTTTTCCCCTACTTCCTCTTCGTTCTAGCAATGGCAAGTGAGAAGGGGAGAACAAAGCCAAAGATTATTGGGTGTATTTCTGTAGTATAGAGAAAAGGCGTGTAAGCAATAACGATGATTATATTATTCTAAAACTCTGTACACCCTAACTACGTATAGTCTAAATATGGCAAGTTTTGGTATTTAATGCAACGAAATGGTGTTATTGTAAATGTCATTCAGTAGATCGAAGCTATTATTCATTTAATAGAGTAAGAGTAGGATGAGCATCATGCAAAATTATGAAATAGTTGAATTCCAAGTTTAGAAAAAAACTCAACTTACATCTCATAATTTGTCAAAACAAGTAATAGTTTGTCAGACTCTTCCTAAATGATTAAATCAATGTATATAGCAAGTTAATATGGTAGTCAAATAGGCGATTGAAAGAATAAAATGATATTTACACTTCATATAACGTGTGTCGCATATTATCATTGGAAGAAAATAAATGATGTATTGAAGATGTAATGTATTTCATAATAGAAAAAAAGTTTGCAGTCTAACAATATTAAATGAATCTAATAAATTGCTCGAATAATAATAATGCATGGATATATTTCCTATATGATTAAATATACGAGCACGCGTATCCGCTTTAAAAAGTTGTAATCGTTTTGGATGGTTTATTTGTTAAGTTATTTGAAGCCCTTTTACATTTTATCTCAAGTATACAATAAATAGTTTCTGAATTCCACATTTTCAGTCCTCAAGAGACTAAAGCGATAAGTTTTTCGACAGTTTTTACCATATCAATCAAATTATCGAACAATTTTCTGATACATAATCAGGTTCCGAAGCAGTTTTCACTGATTGAGTACAAACCGATTCTTTAACTTTTCAAAGTCAATAAAGTGAATCTGATTGTCCAAGTCAGAACAGTTAGAAACTGCTCTAAAAACTGGCGACCCTTTGTCTTTAATTTCCTTTATACTAAAGGATGAAGATAAATGATTTACTGAGCACTTTTTCCGAAAGATAAAGGATTCATTTATCTTTGCTTAGTACAACAAGACTAAATGGCTATTCATATTATATAGCCAATTAAGATATCAATATTCCTCGATGCAACTTCCACCAATACTCTTACAATTGTCAATTTCTATCGCCTTTGATAATGAGGAAATGGGGAAGTTTTCGACCTAAGCGATTTCTCTTGTTTCGCACTTTACGTCAAGGAGAAATAGCG